TGTTGCGGACTGAATGAGTAAAAATAGGTAAAATGCTTAAAGAGTGCCTAGCACAAACATACTTAAGTATTAAACATTGCTTATCATTAGTTTTATTGATGTATAAGCACCTTGGGTGGCTGATAAAAGTAGGTACAGTGGAGTCAAACAACAATAAACTTGCACCCAGATGCTCTGGGTTCATATTTCAGTTCCTTAACTATTTCATTTGGCATTAATTTCCTCATCTGTAAAATAGGAAGGCACTTTGAAAATGATGCATGTAAGGGGAAACTTAAAAGCAGTATGTTTAGTAGGATAGTAAAGAAAAGTTGCATCTGATTTCCACTTTGGAAAAGGGAAACTTTGTGGAGGAGGTGCCTTTTAAGACAGTAAGTACTCTAGTAATGGACCACATAGGGAAAGCACATGCCTTGAACCAAGGTAGGTCTGATTCAAAATCCCTTGCTTTCTTTACTCCAGAGATTTTCAATCTTTTTTTCATCTCATGGCATACATAAACTAATCACTGAAATTCTGCAGCACACCAAAAAAAAAAAAAAAAGTATAAATTTGATTCATTCACACCCAGATGGCTATTGCTGTGTTGGCTATTGTCATTTTTTAATTTGACAATGAAAGGGAAAAGAGATCAGAGCCCCTGACTAAATAGTCAGGTACTGCATGTTTTAAAACTTCTTGCAGCACACCAGCTGAAAACCCTGCTTTACGCTATAGTTTGAAAGCTTAAAAAAGAATATCCTGATTTCTTAAAGGTTTATTTTCTTCATACAAGGTAGGGACACTAACCCTTCGAAGGTAGTAGAAATACATTAAAGGCTGTTAACGTAAAAACACAAACAAACATTGACACCTGTAAAGAATTTTTGTGAGTTTATTTGAGGTGGGAAGCAGAAACTCAATGAATTGAGATAATGCTTCCAAGAATGGGCTGGTTACATCTGTGTTTATACATTGCAATCAAAGGAAAAGGACGTAGGTGAGTTACATGAAATCCACTGGTGATAGACTAGAGAGGCAGGAGAAAGCAGAGCAGGGAAACCCCTGGGATTGGATAAAAAGTAAAATGATAGCCCTAACTGGTTTGGCTCAGTGGATAGAGCGTCAGCCTGCAGAGTCAAGGCCCCAAGTTCGATTCCAGTCAAGGGCATGTACCTTAGTTGAGGGCACATCCCCAGTAGGGAATGTGCAGGAGGCAGCTGATCGATGTTTCTCTCTCATCGATGTTTCTAACTCTCTATTCCTCTCTCTTCCTTTCTGTAAATAAAATCAATATATTTTTTTTAAAAAAAAAAGTAAAATGATAGACACATACTTAGGTGGGTGCAGGAACAATTAACATGATAACAATGAAAGAATTTGTGGTATCTGTCCTGGCGCCCAGCACATTAGGTTGTGCCCCAAGGGGTCCGGAAAAAGGGAAGTTACAAGTTACCCAGACGGGTATGTTATTATACTAGTCGATGCATAAAGACAGATAAAGGTTGACCTTGTCAGTGAATATACCGGCCCAGGACGTGACCACTACCCACCAAAACTGCTTTAAGTTGAAGTTTAATTTCAGACCATCCTTTGTGGTTACTTTAAGTCTGAGCTTGCAAAACTGCGATGCAGGCTTCCCCTGAGCTTGTCAGGTTAGCACGTGGCCCCTTTCCTCCACAAGGCACTGGCGTCGATTTGGGCTAGTACGTGCCCTTTTTTCGATTAGGAATGATCCATTCTTTTAGAAGTAAATGATGTTGGAAGAAATGAGATTCCTCTTGTATAATGAGGAGTGTCCCAATAGTTTTAAATCAATTTGATATGTTTGTTTTTAATTAGAAAAACCACTGCCTTCCAATGAACATTTCAAAATCACCAAGGGCTGTGCGCGCTGCACTTTATACGAAGGCATATTTACAATTTTTTGTAAGTAAAAGTTGCAACATCAATCACATGTGAAGCAGGTGTTGGGCCCAGTACTGTCCTCACCGAAGCCAACAAATGCAGAGAGTGAGAAAAAAGAAGGAAAAGCAGCCTTTCCTATCCGGTTAGCTAAATGCCTCTCCCACCCCCAACCCTCACCCCGCAACCAAGCCTCGGAGGCTGGGGCTGGGTCGCTGGCAGACTGTCTGCAAAAGCGCCAGCATCCAGAGTGTGTAAGAAAAGCAAAGCCAAGTCTCCCTTTTACGAAAAACCCCCAACAATTCTGTCTTTGCCCCAGGGCAGAGAACTCGCTGGGCCTCCTCCACGTCACACTCCAGGAAAGAGGAGGCGGCGGCATGTGACTTTGCTCTGGTCCGGTTCGGTCCTCCGGACTCTCAGCAGCCCAGGCGGGAGGACTCCCACGTGGCGCCCGCAGCCTGCCCACAGCCGGCTCGGCCCCCGCTGCCGGC